TTTATTTATACATTTATATATTTGGGCCTGGCCAGTGGCTATTGTTATTTAGTGGTGAAGCTAGTTGATCCAGCTGTTTAGTCTCCCATCAAAACCTCTAAACTGCCAAACAAGCCGTCATGAAATTTGGTATAAAAGTTATCAATCCATCAGTTTTCTTCTGCTAATCTGAAGTTGTGTCGAGGAGGTTAGAAGTTCAGGAGGAAAACCAACACATGCTCATGGGGATCCCTAAATGTGCTTCCATGCCAGAGATTATTTGTAATCCCTCTGAATTCTGGGTTTGCCCTAATGGGACCGGCCTAGAAAACGTTAGGTTACTTAACGTAACCCCGGTTCTTTGATAACAAAGTGAGGTCTTTCTCTATGGGAAACGCTCCAGTGTGACCAACTACGGAAGCTCCAATGACATTACATCTGTCTGAGACAGACCAGTTGAGCTGTGCTCAGGGCTCCGCTCCCATCATGATACCGCAGTCAACCGGCCACCTCCTACTCATTCTAGGATGGTTTCTTTCCATGTCTTTGCAAGGATGGAAGTGTTAGTTAAACACCTCACTCCGTTTTCAAAGAACTGAGGTTACATTATGTATCTTAATGTTCTTTTTCTAACTTTGTTTGGTGTTTCACTATGGGAGATATGGCCCACTCCCGTATTGCAATAAAGCCCCAAAGCCAACCACTATCCTGAACCCGGACTAAGAAGGCTGCGAAGTTCCGGCGTCCCGTATCACATAAGCTAGGGATGGCTGAGCCACATTCAGCCTGTAACACTGCACAAATGTATGTGGTGTGGCCCATCTAGCTGCTGCACAAATATCTTGGACAGATACCCCTCGAAACAAAGTCCATGATGTGGCCATGCTCCTGGTAGAATGGGTTTTCAGCCCAGTCGGGGCTCTGTACCCCTACATCTGTAACCAAGACTATTTGTCTCCACAATCCAGTGTGCCAGCCTCTGGCATGACACTGGTTTCCCTTTGAGTTGAGGCCCAAGAAACAAACAGCTGGTCTGACTTCCTGAAGCCAGCGGTCCTGTCAACACAAGCTTTCAGCTTCCACACAGGACACAGGAGTTAAGGCTTTGCTCCATTTCAGAGGAGTATGAAAGTGGGTGGAAATCTAACAGCTCTACTAAACAACATCTGTACACATAATTCATCACCTTATACCCTTTTTCCATTAGTACCTTTCGTACCGGTACAGCACAGTTCGACTTGGCTTGGCACAGTACGAGTTGTGTTTCTATTATACTTTCAGTAACTGTTCTAGTGGGCAGGTTCAGGGTTAAAAAAAATTGACATCACATGCCTTACCAGCTGGTGGTGGTAATGCTGGTGGTAAGACCCTGACACAGGTTTCAGTACAGGGTGAGAACTTATTTTGAAGTTTCTGGTAAATCCAAATGAATATATCCATCCATTATCTTTACCTGCTTCTTCCTTTTTGGGTCGCAAGGGTTGCTGGTACCCATGTCCAGCAATCACTGTGCGACAGGCGGGGGACACCCTGGACAGGTCTCCAGTC